GCAGAGTTCAGATTGCTCTCATTGTAAATCAATTATTTTTTGAGGCATAGTTGCATAGCTTTCCTTTTTAACTGTCTTGTGGAAGTGTCTAGAAATTGAAAATGTTATGACTAAAGTTGCTGATTATATTTTTATGTTAATTGTAGGTGGTGCGGTGGGGTCGATCTGTTTATGCCAATATTCAGAAATTTATACAATTTCAGCTCACTGTTAATGTTGCAGCTCTTATAATCAATGTTGTGGCTGCAGTTTCCGCTGGTAATGTCCCATTAAATGCAGTGCAGGTTTGTGATCTCTCTCTCTCTCTTTCTGTCTGCTGTTTTTCTTTGTATGAACAAGTTCTTAATCATAACTCTAATTTAGGTTCAAAACTAACTTTATAACTATTTTGTCTTCTGAGCAGCTTCTCTGGGTAAATCTTATAATGGATACACTAGGGGCCCTAGCACTAGCAACTGAACCTCCTACAGATCATCTGATGCATAGGCCACCTGTGGGTAGAAGGTTAGACTTTTCATAAATGAGTCAATTTTCCTCTGAAGTTTGTTTTATATGTGACCGAGGCAAAAATATGGTTTCAGTTAGTTGAGTGGTGACTGCATCTTTTTCCCTCCTCCCCTGTACCAAAGGAGATAATTATCTCAGAAGGCACTGGAATTTCAGTGCTGATACAATGAACTGTGCTACTTGTTCATATTATGATAGCTTGAAAACATAGCTGACATAGAGGGCACTATATTTTGCAATCACGTCATTCCATTCTCTGCAATTCTTCACGAACCCCTGTCACAGTTGTGTCATTCAATTATCTTAAAATAAGCAGAAGCCAATGCAGAAAGTTTTCAATAACCCACAAAAATTGCAAGGAAATTGGCATTAAAATAACTACGAAAATTAAAAAAACCGATAAATTGAATTTGTAACTTCAAATTCTGTAAATTCATTACCTGTCTTGTAATTCATATTGTAAGAATATTTGCATTAAAATAGCTAAACCAATTGGGGGAAAAAACAGATAATTGACTTTGTTACTTGAAATCTGTAAATTTATTTAGTCTTGCCTTGTCAACCTGTGACTTTCCTGTGACTTTCCCTTATTATAATCTTTGATTAAGGCAAGGAAAACATTCATAGAAGTACAGACATCAATTTTTTTTTTCTTGCCCATTCTATGATTGTGTGTTTATTTTCTCAAAATAAAAAATCTATAAGAGATGAAGGTATTCTTGGTGGTGGTTTTTGTCTGTTGGTTGAAATTTTGGCCATGCTTCAATGCTGGACTAGGGTTTTTAGTGACAAGAAGAGAGATGAAAAGAGAGACAATGAGGGAGTGAGGGGAGAAAATTATTAGCTTAGTTGATATTGGTTATTGGCAATCACTTTGCTGCTTGAATTGGTTATTTAAGAATACAAGAAAGATGGGAGCTGGTGAGACCTGTCCCTTTCAATCTCATGTTATTGTTCTATGTTATAGAGATGTTATGAGCCATATATTTTTTTCAAGTTCAGTTGGACACTTATGGATTCCTTCATAATTAGTTGGGGAATGCATAATAAGATGATAAGAAATCCATATTTGGAAATGGGGATTATGGAAATGTGTTCTTCAGGAATCTATTATATCATCTGTGGTATTTCAAATGAAACCAGGAATGCTGCTTCTCTTTAATGTAGATAATTCTAGGCTCGATGAGGATGCACCAGGTGGAGAAGGGGCCTGAGAGCATCTTTTGATGCCTCTTGTTCAGGTCAAGCGCAATGTCTACTGCTTTAGTTTATTTCCTTATTCTGCAACAAGTATTTTACTTATTCAGTCCAATCTCTTAGTTTTTATGTTTCCTTATTCTATTAAAAATGTTGGATTTGCTTTCCTTATCCAGTCAGGACTTATATTTAGGTTTTATTATTTCATGTTCTTTGTCATTCAGATGAAGGGTGGGACGTTCGATTTAATAAATAACAGGGAGTGTTCTGTTCGAAATTTGATCTTGCTTTATTGCTTGATTGTCATGGTTGTGGCTTTTCTTGTTTTTTGACTGTGTCACTCTTCCTTCCCCATTCCCTCGTACTAGGCACCACCTTATGAGTGTTTTAAGTTACTAGAAAGCACCATGGTGTAGAGATGTCCTTTTATTTCTTGTCCATATCATTAAATTCTGTTATGCACTTTCTGAGATTGAAATTATTTACTGATCAAACATTATTGTCAATATTTTAGGGAACCTCTCGTTACTAATGTCATGTGGAGGAACTTGATAATTCAGGTATCAAACTTATGTGTTAACTATATTATTGATTTTTTTTATATTTGGATGGAAACTAAAATACTTCATTAAGCCCTTGTTTGGGCTCCATGTTAGCGAGGTTCTGGGAAAAATGTATTTTGGAATAGTAATTTTTTTGAGAATGTGTGATTAAAAAAAAAAAAAATTTGGATTTACGTGTAATATTATTTTATTGAAGAATGTGCGGTTGAAAATAAGAAAGATAAAAATGTATTAAAATTAAAATGGAGCCCAAACATGGACTAAATATCCACGTTCTAATTGTTTGCAGTTGAATGATTGCAGGCTCTATATCAAGTGACCGTTCTTCTAATACTGAATTTCCGAGGAAGAAGCATTCTAAATTTAGAGGATGAATCGGATGACCGAGCTTTCAAAGTGAAGAATACACTGATATTCAATGCATTCGTCCTTTGTCAGGTAATGCATTGGGATATGAAAGTATTAATCTTTTGCTACATAGAGCAAAGTGTAGATATCTGCAATGCCGTTGAATTCTCCTCTCCCTCTCCCTCTCTTATTTTATTTTATTTTTTTATGTTCTAATATGTCGCAGTTTTTGTAATTGGAATATTCAATCTGCTTTTACAATAATGATCATTTGATTTTTTGTTATACTTACTGGCAAGTGAAGGGTTGAGGATTCTCTATCTCACAATATGCATGTTATGCTGATATTATCAACAAAATATTGAAGAACGTGAATCTGTGTGATGTCTATGATGGGNACAGGCCGCTCCGTCATTGTCTGATTTTTGGTTGTCTGATCACAGTCGAAATTATGTATCTACTTATCGTATTTTTGCTCCTGCTTGGTAGATTTGTAGCAGGTTTTTTCTGATTTTGTTGTACTTGACTGGCAAGTGAAGAGTTGATGATTCTCTGTCTCACAATATGTATGTTCTGATATTATCAACAAAATATTGAAGAACATGAATCTGTGTGATGTCTATGATGGGATCGAATATGCAAAACTTGAGATGACTCCACTTTGTTCTGTTTTTAAGTTTAAATATTAATCTAGTTGAAATCATTTTGCTGAAGCCGCTCTGCACTTCTATCTTTAATTCGCCAATTTTTAAACTGTTGTTTTCCGCGTGCTTTACCTAATTTCTTTTGTTTATAATTACAGATATTCAACGAGTTGAATGCTAGAAAGCCTGATGAGATCAATGTGTGGAAAGGGGTTACTAAAAACCGTCTTTTCATGGGAATAGTTGGGCTTACAGTGGTTCTTCAGGTTATTTCTCTTATCTTTGCTCTTTCTTGTACAAGATGCCCCATAATATCTTGAGAATATCTTGAAATTTATAAATCTACTCTTGCTGTTCAGGTTATCATAATATTTTTTCTTGGGAAGTTTACTTCAACAGTTAGACTCAGTTGGAAATTGTGGCTTGTTTCCATTGTCATCGGTATAATCAGGTTTGTTTCTCATTACCTGGCATTTTGGCTTACAGTTTTTATCTGGTATTTCTCAACTGTACATTATTTTAGTTGATAGTCTATCGTATTTGTTAATACTTTTATACTGATAGATGTTGAAGATACTATTTCTTTACATTAAGTCATTGACGGTTGCATTAATCCTGAAAAGGTGGTGTTGGGTCTATAATTGCATCACTATGTGGATGTCCTCGTATTATTCTCGTATCTAATACGAAAATCTGCTTTCATTTTTTCTTGATCAGCTGGCCTCTAGCCATTGTTGGGAAGCTAATTCCTGTTCCAGAGAGACCTTTCAGTGATTTTTTTATGAAGCAAATACGTAAAGAAAGAGAATCAAGAGGTAAAGAAAACTTTTTGTGAGTTGAATATGAGGGGAATATGCGCTTCTTCATCACTACGAGTTGACTTGATCTTCTTTTGTTATCCAGGTTAAATACTGAGTAAGTGGAAAAAGACAGCTTCCGGTTCATCTTTTTCCGTAGGTGGGGTGCAATAATAGCTAACTTTTGGATAGATACAGATCAGTATAGCTCAAATCTAACCTTGCGATTTTAAGTATTTAGTCTTCCATCAAACTGACTTGTACATTTCCGTGCTGAAAATACGGAGTTGCTTTTGCTTATAGAGTGAAGTTTTAATGTGTTCTTTATCAACTAATTTGATATAAATGATCAAGAAATTATTTTTGTGCAAGTACAGTTACATAGATTTTTGCATTCTGGAACTGATTGATTTGTGTATGTTGAATGGTTTTTATGCTGTTTTGTCAATAATTGTTGGATGGTTGCCTATCCTACAGAATTTTGCATTCAGAATCCACTTATTTGTGTTGATGCTTATTATGCTGTTTTAGCAATGATTTTGGAGGGTTGATTTCATTCCATGGTCCTGGTAAACAGGGCAATCTCAAATATTTATGTGCTTTAGTTCTCGTTGTTGTGATTCTATTGTCATCAGCCATACAGAAAAGTAACATTCGCTAACATTTGCAGACTTCAGCATGCATTTAATACCATTTTGGATGGTGTATTCTGCGTGCCTTGTGCAACTGATCTTTGGTTGATTCAGTTTCATTTTTCATTTGAATAACTGTCAGTTAGGGTAGTTGTGATCACTATTTCAATGGGTGGATCCCTCGAGGCAACATTAGTCTCAAATTGAAGTGTCACATTTTGGGGATTCTGCAGCCATGCTCAAAGGTGGCACAAATCCTTCTCCAGGAAAATTTGGATTCCACTTGGGGGACATTTTCGCTTGTACATTTCGTTAGGGAGATGGTGCAGGACTAATATCATCATTATTGGTATGAACCTCAAAGGACTCAGGAGAGCATTCATAGCATTTCTTTGGCTGCATTTCAGTAAAATGATCCTCTTTCTCAAGGATCTCTGGAACCCCAGGAGAGAGGGTTACTGCATCCTACAATTCCATGTTGGAACCAATGTTCTATATGAAGTTTGTTAAAGAAAAAAGTAGCTATTGGACATATGAATTAGATTCACTGAATTTGAAGTATGACAAGGGTCGAAATGTTTGAAGGAGCTTGACTCGGGGAGGCAAGTGGTGGCTCAGCTTTTCATGGTCAGGTTTTGTAGTATTGTGGTAATTTGGATGTTTCATAGGTATCTTTGGCATTCTAGACATTGCTAAAGAACTTGAGAGTACTGACTAGTGCTTTCACCACATATCAAATACGCCATCACTGTTTCACGTGGAAAAATGGCTTCAAAGAAATCTCCCAACGGTTGATTGGTCTAGGTTGCAATCATTTCATTTAACAGAAATCAGAGCACAATATGCACTCTGAAATCAACAAACTGGTCAAGTTCCAGACTGATTACCGAAATTTACTAGTTCAACGTCCATTAGCAAAACATTGATGCACACATGCACAGGTATCAACTGGCCTTGGGATCTATCTACTCGGACAGCGAAAAATGGAGCAATTTTTTATGAATAAGCTACAAATTCTAGTACAGAAACTTGTGCCTGAGAAGAAAAACACTTGGATCAATGGCAGTCATGAGTAAAGAAATAACTCTCTCTCATTTCTGTGAATCTCAAACGTGTACACAACAAATCTTTTCTTATACAGTTTATTGCATTATTAGGGTATATTACAACTAAAGATTAAACTCACAGATAAACTGGTCTCTTGGATAGTAAAAGAGAATAAAGAGTGGGGTAACCAGAGACGTCTGATGTCTAGCTCTGACAAGTTGTTTATAGACTCTTCAAAACCAGTTTCCTGTCTTTATTTTTGAACTATGAAAACCAACGATGAGCAAGGAATAAGGATAACGTAAAATTATGCTAATGCACTAAGCTCAAGCTCTATGAAAAATAGTAATGGTAAAATCAAGAGCTCTTCAATTGCACATAATAAAGTCAATAGGATACAAGGGAACCATCCATTTGAAAAATTTAATCCACACTTAAGTTTTAACGGCTTCATTTGGAATTGGATCATAAATTGTAGTGAGAACAAGGAAAAGACGAGCCCGAGTGGACTGATTCCCGCCACTTCTTCCTTCCCCCTTGCCTGTGTTTAGTTTTCTTACAGATGCAGAGAGTTCTCAATATGAAAATCATCTGCTGAGAGTTTCGTAGAGCAGACAATGAAAATGATGCATAGCCATCTCGACATTTGGACTGTATCGACCAATGTTGTATGCCGGAGACTCGAGGCCCCGTTGAACAGCTTCACTTAAAATTATGTCTTCCATCTGCATATGGATTTCGTAAACACATTAAACATGAAATATGAAAGCACTGATTGTCGGAAAAAAGGAGTCTGACCTGCACTTTCTCACTGTCCTCCAAACTCTTTTCAATAAAATCACCGTTATCCTGAGAATAAACAATTGTCAAAGAACAGTATGTTTGTGAACCTACCCAGAGCAAAGCTAAATATCTGTCATACGATTGGCATTTTCAGTAGTACTTATAGTGCATCATTGTAACAATTGTACAATCTGACTCACATTAGGCAAATGATAATAAATGAATGGGGTAAAAGGAGAAGGACTGATTCCATGGAGGAGCATACATGAACAGTTCTTTATAAAGAAAACCTGGACAATCAAGGGGACAAAAAAAATTGGTTTTGTTTATTAATTCCATGTTAGCATGAAAGATCAATGCCAAGATCATCAAAAAACCTGGAGAGTAGTTAAAAATAAACACCATAACACATCTTTCCAATTTCCATAATTCATGTATTTTGTAATCGATACATCCAACCTGGAGACGAAAGGGTCTTTTTATTATGCTATAAAAGTTCTAGATATGATTTTGGGATACTAAGATATTTATTTATCTTGGGATCATTTTGATCTAGGCATCATAAAATCTATGAGGAAAGGAACTTACACTAAGAGAAGGATCAAGAAAATAATCGAATATCACTTGGCATTTCCGTGGTCCCAATGGGACTACAAGGTTGGTATCCATCCATGGTCCATACCTAAGGTACAGAGAAAAACTAGAGAAAATAAGGATGCTATGATGCAAATATGATAAGACAACAAAAACAAATAATTGATAACATTTAAGTACTGATCGCTGACCTATTAATCATAAAGTTTGGATAGACAAAAGCATATAATGCATTTGAGCCAAGTCGATCATATTCTTCATCACTATTCACGGCACCACCATCACAACTTTGGATGCTAACTTTCTCAAACATCTTCACAATTTCAAGAACAGAGTTACATAAATGAACCAAGGTATAATTATATAAAAGAAAGTTGACAGTAAACAATTTGAATCATATATGTGGAAGCATGGATGCATAAACCAGTGTATGGTATGCAACTAGAAGACAGTGGACATTATTTTTCTTCCTTAATACTGTCCAATGCTAACCATTCCTTCTTACCAAACATGCTAATAAGCTATGACTTCTAGTAGCACTACAAATAATGTAAATACATCTCCAAGCAAAAATGAAGAAAAATATCCATAAACACTGGGAAAGTTAGTTTAAGAAGCGGGCATACCTTGATGGAATATGACTCTAGATTGAGACCAGATGCAAGACCTTTATGTGCATATGGCACATGATAACCTCCATCTAAGTAGTTGTCGCAGAATACCTTCAGAAAAAAATCCTATCAATCCTGATTGATCCATGATCTTGTATTTTAATTTTGCACCATTGGATATAAAAGTAGTGAAAACTATCTTTTTAGCCAGTTAAAATTGATAATAAGATTTATTGAACGAAAATTAGAGGAGCCCAATCTTATTTTGATTAAGAAACAGAAGAGATAAGATGAACTAGGATATGGACTAGTTTGACAAAGAATATGATGAGAGTCAAACCTTCCAGTTACATTCAATTGTATATTCACGTCGACAAACATAATCCAGTGAATCATCAACACCAGTTGCACTCAGTAGATCTGCTGGAGTACCCAGCCATTCATTTCCCACAACATTGGTATCAAAATCTTCTTTAGGAAAACCTCCTTCAAAATTAAGTAACACAAACGGCCCCCAAATGGCAACTCTAATGGGAACAAGTCCCATTTCCTGCCTTTCATATGATCACATTAAAAAGCCAAAATTAGTAAATTACCAATCCATAAGAAAACTGCAGAATACGAATAGCAATGAAATAGACGAGGTTGTTGCATACATTCACTTTGAAGTTCTTGATTCCAGTTATTCTTGTTGCTTTCAAAAGTGCTCCATCCAACCCATAAGTCCATCCCTATAAGGGTGAAAAAACAACGAAAACATTTACATTCATCGATTAGGGTTTGAAACTTTAAAAAGTTTTAGTATCTTATAGATGTCTAAAATATGAACTTTGATATGACTGCTCCACCGGATTTTCAGTGCTCCTTGATGTGGCAAGAAATCATTAAATTAAATGCATTTTTGGGCGAATTTAGAGCGGTCTATGCTCAATATGACATGGGGTATTATTAGCATATGAAAGAATGAGTAAATAGTGAACGTTTCCCCATTGACACATTATTTCCTTTAACATGCATTATTCATATTTAAGAACGTATTCTTTCCAGTCATAAATATAAGAATTACCATAAGAAATGGATGTCAGTATCATTTAGACTTCAAATCATGTTCCAAGAATATTAAACTGACATGCAGCTGATCATTATTTATGGTGTTAAACTCAAACCTCTTATTAATTTCTGTTTTGCAGTTCGCTAAGTTCTGCCAACTTTGTAATCTTTAAGTTGCTATTTGTAATTCCTATATGCTATGAGATACAAAAGATACTATCAGATATGAAAGAGAGGCGAAGACCTTAAAGAGCATGACGAGTAACTGATCACAAAGTGAAAATAAAATGCATCTAAAAATATTGAATTCCATATGAAGTGTGAGCTTAATACATGCACAATCCTCTAGATCTGCTTTAAGCAATTAACAACTCACATGATATGGGCAGACAAAACATGATTTATTCCCAGTTCCAGAGGCAAGAAGGGATGCATGATGGCGACACACGTTGTGAAATGCACGTAATGTGCCACTTTCATCCCGACACACCACATATTCGATATTCCCCAATCTGCTGCAGTAACTAATTAGCCACCTTAAAAAAAAGTTCATTCACACACCTTTGTCGTCGTTATTTTTACAAGCAATACACCCATACATATACCTTTATATCTCCTCTTCTCTCCAATTGTCACATGCATTTCTCATGTGAATTACACGGAAGAGTAAGAATTGGAAAAATTACAATCATACCTCTTTGGCTACTACAAGCATAAAAACACTCTTAAAGTCTTACTACAGTTACCTGCCAGAGAAAAATTGCCCAGGCTCTTTAATCTGTTCAGTGTATCCTGACACATACAATTTAACGAAAAATGGTAAGCATCAGAGACATCGAAAAAAATCAAATCAGCTTAATTTTCCCAAAACTAGACTGCAAATTTGACATGTCTTTGTGATCCTAAAGGATGATAAGCAGAGTGGTGCTTCACTATTGTTGTGATTGTTTCGCTCATAAGTAATCGCATTGGGATTGATTGGGATCACATACATACAGGCTGTAGCAGATTTTTCCACATAAACTGTGAAACATTAGGTACTATACAAAACTGTTGAAACCACATACTCCTGCAATTTGGAATAAATACTGTTCCAGCACAGACAATTTCAACCATGGAAGAACACGTTCTCTCTTTACACTTGATGGTTAAAATATTTATTTGGGTTCTCAATTTCTTGGACAAAGAAAATAGCGGATACACGTAAACACATAGAGACGCGTAGACATACATAGCCAAGATTAGAAGTCTTCTCAAATTTCTTAATTTTTCATTTTATCGCAAAGAAAAAAGAAGTATGTGAAGTGTACCAACAGGATGCCAGCCTCTGTAGAATACTTGATCAAGCTCAAGAGAGTAGAAGTCAGGGTCTGTGTACCAGGAGCTTGGTGGGGTCCACGCTTCTTCTACTGGGATTTTGGGATTGAACTCTTGGACCAAATTTCGAGCTTTACCATAAAACTTCTCGCCAACTTCTGAGTTCTTTGAGCGTGAACAAACATTTGAATCAGTTACAAGGGATGATGAGATTACTTGAAAAGATTTACTGAAATTATTGTTGTTGAATTGAACCCAGTTTTTGGGTTTCTCGATGAAATGAATACGAGGGTGTTTTAGAATTTCTGGGAACTGGGTGAGCTTCTGCGTCGTGATCATAGCAGCCATGGAGATTCTTACTATGTTTTCTCTGATGGGTTGGACTTTTGGCTAAAATTATTACTTACGAGCATAAAAGTTTTTAGATAAATGATAGTTTTATTGGTTAAGATTACAAATAAAGTTAAATTGTTTTTATTAAGATAAGTAAATTTTTATTTATAAGTACAAAAATTAAGTTATTTAAACACGATTCTAAGTTAATTATATGCTGACTTCTTGGTTGATTATGTAAATAGCTTTGGATTGTTTGTGTCCCCTTAATAATTTTCATCTTCGTAGAGGATATATATATTTATATTATGATGAAGGGTTTGAGGTTATTTATATATTCTATTCATATTTGACGTATGACTATTCAATTCCAAGATTCGTTCATATTCATTCAACTTACCTACCGAGAAATTGAAGAATTAGTTGTGCTTTGCTTTGACACGAGAGACGTAGATGAAAACATCCATCTACATTTTGTGGGTTGGATTTGTTTTTTCATTCAATTTTCGAGGCATAAATGAAATATTTGATTTATAAATTTATGCATTATTCTAAACATTTTTATTTCTCTATAATTTCTAAATATATGCTTCCATTCTTTTGACCATATTTAGTGCATAACATGTTATTGTATTTCTTGTTTGATAAAATGTTATCAACTAGTCAAATTTTAATTTTAATCACATCTTTCATAAAACCCAACAACTCTTATCAATTTTTCAATCACATATTTTGTTAAACTTTTATCAACATTTATTAAATTTTTTATCAAAAGATTTGCCATGCAAAAAAAAAATTATATAATTTGTACGAAAACCAATTGTTGTTCGATGTTATTATAATTCTATTTTGTAAAAGTTAAGGAGAAGTTAAATATAGCGACGTATATATACGTGTTTTACTAATATATACAACACGTAATAAACAAGCACACAATTTGTGAATTTGATTACTTACTTTACAACAAGCGCAAACACGGGTAAATTATTTCATTGTTCATTGACTTTTGTCTGCGTTACTAGAATGTCATTGAACTTCAATTTGTTTTCTAATGGTCGCTAAATTTTTTATAAGTGAAATCTATCCATCATTAAAGTGATCTCCGTTAAAGAAGTTTTGGTTCTTATTCGGTTCTTCGGTTCTTGGTCTAGACCCGAAACTCAACCCAAACCCATCGGTTCTCGATTCGGGTACCCGTTCGGGTATTTAATTTATGAAGAACCGCTCGATTCGGTTCGGGTTCGGTCCGGTTCGGGACTTTTGGACATCCCTATTTCTAATGGTCACTAAATTTTTCAAAAGTGAAATCTATACATCATTAAAGTGAACTCCGTTAAAGAAGTTGCTGGCATGGCGAAAGGAAAATCTACGTTGCATATTAATGCCATTAACTTTGTCCAACTAAACAAACTATGTTCTCCATATGGTACTCAACTTTTTCTCATGTTTGAACTTGTAAACTATTTTTCCATGGTTACTGAATTTTTTAAAATTGCTATCAGGATCAACTTGTATATTGCATATAAATGAATACAGATGGTTATCGAAATGCCACTTTTCAACAAATTCGAACGTGACATTCTTCTCAACCATTTATGTGAATATTTTAATAAGATAATTTTGTAGGACACAAAAATTCAATTCTTACAATATTGGTATCAATTTAAATGACGATGTATAGCACATGTTATTCAATGTATTTTTTTACTAAAGAAATGATTGTGTTAACTATGTCCATAATTACTATAAAGTGGAAAATTATCTTCATACTTTATGAAAACGTTATAAATCACATCAATGGACAATTGTGACTCGAAAACTTTATAACTCACACACCCAAATAAAGTACTAAATTCAAAGTAACATGACATGCAATATTTGTGGTTGAGAAGGTCACAATAAGAAGCATCATATGAGAAGTTATGCACTAACTAAGGTTAGTAATAACTTTCTTTTTTATACGAGAGGCGAAGGAAACAAAGGAACTGAATGAGAACATACGAAAAGTAAGATCCTTGTCGGTCAATCAAAAGTGAAGAGAATTGGTCATGTAGCCATGGCATGAAGTGTGGTTTAGAAGGTCAATTTAAAGAAGTATCACATGGGAAGTAATGCATCGAATCTAGTAATAACTTTCTTTTTTTATACAAAAGGAGATACCTTCAACTTCACAAGATGATTGTTAAGAAGAATGTCACATTTAGAATTTGTTGAAAAGTAAGACTTTCTCCAATATCTTGGTGGCCATTCCATACCATTTGTGTGCATCTTTATAAAATTACAAGTGAATCTCGAACAAGTTTAAAAGTTCAGTGGTCATAGAGAAATATTTGAAGTTCAATGACCCTTCAGTAACACGATTAATAGTTTGAAAGTGTGATTTATTCATTGTATAAAGTATGGGCATTAATCACATCCACATCTTCAACAGAATTCAGGTGATGGATAAAAATCACTTTTATTCGTTCAGTGACAATGGATAAACAAATTAAAGTTAAATGACCAATGAAAAAATTAACTCACGGAACTGATAGTAGGTTCAAATTATTCCGAGTCTTGAACATGAACAAATCCAAATGAGAAAAGCCAAGAATTTTCTTCTTGATGATCATGCAGTTGAAAAATGACGAAAGAGTTCACCCGTGGATGATATAATTAGAAGTTTTGACATGGATTTATGGATTGGATAAATACCGACTAGCTTTTTCTTCCTTTTCTTGTGGGCCTTGCATACTCAAATTTGAATGGGAAGAGGACGATGGACATACATGTAAATTGTTAAGATGTTGTAGAAATTGGGTCATTTTCTGTAACCAACGTTAGGCAATTCTTTAAAGTCTATCAGTAGTTAGCATTAGACTGTCACTGCACAATACATATTTAAGCTCTTTAACAAACACAAGAATGTGCAATACGGTTTTCCGAGTTATGTATGGGGAAAGATAGTCACTAGCCATCTTTGAAGTTTTTTCAGCTGGAACAAATATGTGCATTTTGCCAGAAGCTATTCTGCTCCCTGCAACACTTGTATAGAATCGACTGTGATATGCTGGTATAAAGACATCACTTTAGGAGCAAATGATGAAGTTATGAACAACTGGCATAGAATCAGCAGGCACGATCTATTACAATTTCAATTGTATGCGGAGAGGTTCACAACCAAGAACACAAAATAAAGTAACAAGAATGCCAGGGTTATCAGTAAACGAGTTATGGAATTAAATTAGATGGGTTCTGCATGTTTTCAATAATTATCCATTATACATAAAAATTTACCATTTCTAGATTGATATATTTAGAGAATGAGCAGCTTATGTCGAAAAATCCGCATGGGATCATTTGAAACATCATCTTATTTAACGGCAAGAAGAGCATGAACTGAGCATGCTATGCACATGAGTTTACAAATGAAATTAAAAGCTGTAATTCCTTCGTGAGTTTACAAATTAAATTGAAAGCTATAATTCCTTCAACTGAAATTCGAAACACAAATAAGTTCATGCATTACCTTCGTAAATGTGTTGGGGAAAATATTCTTCAATTCATCGAGCCTACTACACCATCCAGTTTGAGTCAAGTATATTGTCGTTTCTTTGTGAAAACCAATCTTCTTGAGAAATTCACCAATTTCTTTAGCATTATGACAACATATACTTGAATCAACATATTCGTGTCACCTCTTCTTTCCCAGCATATCAAACCTCAAATCCACTGCTACAAAGCGCCTACATGTTGTTTGGCCCATACTTTGTAGTGTCCCAACCATGGAACCGAACAATTCCCGTAGCTCTGCTTGCAGCTTGAGACTTCCAAATGTGGCCAGGCACTGATATCCATCCATTTGATTGGATGGTTTCTTTTAACTTTGCCACGGATAAGGAATCGAAGTAAGTTGCGAGCCTCAAGTTTCTTTTAATCCTAAATATGGGTTCTCTCACAGCAGTGAATTTCATGCTTGATATTTCAGTTGGCTGAACCCTGACTACTTGGACTACTGCATTCGCTACAAACTTCTTGACATCATAAATTTCTCCAAAATCTCTGAAAGTGATTCACGTATGACAGAAATTTTGTTAAAGTTTTCTTTACAACTTTCTTTTCTAGGCTTATGAAACAAGCACTTCAATCAAATAGTAAGCATCTCGTATGAAACAAACTTCAGAGAATAATAACCACGTTATGGAGCTAACCAAAGATTTCATTGCCAGGGAACATTGCTTTTATTAATTCTTTTGTTTTTCGTTTTTGATTTCACAGGACTCATCTTTTGATGTTAAAGATTTTGTAGCATTATATCTGAGATATTGGTCTAATTAAAGAATAGACGGGTTTGACATTTTCTTTGGACCATCAACAATCTAAAGGAAAATGTAACTATAGATTCTTGTTGATATGTGCAAGGACTCACCTTTTTTCTTAAGTTTGGTTCCTCTGATGTCAGGAAGCACAAGTGTTGCTCCAAGATGCCTAGCCACTCCCACAACAATCTGACAGCAAATAAGAAAGTGTCAACATGGCTAAAAGCAATCCAGCTCAAGAATGTAGGATTCTGGCTATGAAGTGAGTCTGAATGCGCCTTTAGTAGAGCTGAAATATTTGCTGCTTAAAATCTTTGAATTTAAGCTGCCAATCCCTTTTATCATCATGAAATTTTTATTCGAATAAGCCACTAATCAAATTGGTAGTATGTATGACTGTTTCTCATAGATGCCTTGATACAGTCACGATAATCAGGGGCTAGGTCTAAAGGTCAAGAAGCTATAAACTCGTATACTGGCGTCAAGTCCCCATGTACTCCTCAACAGCTTACCATTGTCCCACCAGTCAAACGAACAAATCAGAGAGAGAGAGAGAGAGCTACAAGCATGGTTTTCTACTGATAACATATGCCTAGCTATGCCAGGCTGACCCATGTGGACCAATTATTTCAATAGACTGCCAACACGAGTAACGGTATCGAGAAGCAGGGTTTTCTACTTATAACATATGCCTTGCAGTGCCAGTCTGGCCCTTTTGGACCAATGTTTTTAATAAAAGTCCAAAGCGAGTAACAGTCTAGAGATGCATTGCGCAGCAGGCAGAGGATTTTCCTGGCTGATGGACTGTGCAGGTTAGGAAGGTGGACCAAACCTACTTCATACTTCTCATACATTCATACCTCAAGGCTCCCTTTTCTCTCAGTATATACCTCAAAGAATATTGGAAAAGTAGCATACCTGTGGAGCATGATACTCCGTGCCATTACTCAATGAAAAAAAGACATATCCACCAAACGACTTCCCTTCTACAACAGAAACAAAAATAATGAAGATTGAAGCAGCAGCTACAACTCACGCTAAATGCAAGTCATATTTAAAGACTTACCTAATGAGGGAACTCTCCAGCAAGATTTCCATACTTCATTTTGGTCTTTCCACTGACCAAAACTAATTTCAGTCAGTATAAACTCTTGTTCCTTGCTTGCATTGTACTGGTGGGTGCTCTGCAGTGCCTGGATAGTTTCCTGTAAAAAATATGAATCTTTGAGCTTATTTTGAAATTCTATTTTCAGTTTAGGACATTTACTAGCTGCGCATCAAGTTTTTAGAGATCATTTCAGTCTATGATCAGAATCTCAATATAGAAAGTTAAAATGTGAGTACAGAAATAAAAGCCACTACAATGCAGGACTAGCCATCCTATAGCTTAGATAAACAATACTTAGTTTTTGCAAATGTTTTTTCAGAAACCCAGTTTTTCAAGTGATTCATATCCAATAACACACATACGGGGTTTTATCACATAAATGATAATAATACATATTTCATGGGGACTTTGCTACAGAATTGTAATTCTTTGTCAAGAACACTACATCAAAGCACACGTTTACAGATAACTTGGGCAAAATCTCTGTAGCCCTTTGAAAACAAGTATAATTAAAACTTCAAAATAACACACGTGATTAGAAACAAAAGAAAGGAAGAAAAGAAGGCATTTCAAATCTTTTCTTTCCTTCTTTGTACTCCCTTGGTTCTGATCGCATAATAACTTGTCTTGTAATCCAATCTTTCTTTGGCTGAAATCTCATTTAGAAGATCTAATTTGAATGAATTTATATTGGTTTGATATCCATAATGGCAATGGTTTCAGTATTTCAAAGATAGAATCGCACAATATATAAATGCAAAGAAGAATGTCTAACTGTGACTTCGATTGGCACACGTTTCTCAATGCGGTGCTGGTAATAAAAATCAACGCAATCGATATCTAGCCGCTTCAAGCTGGCCTCACAGGCTGACATAGGCAGGGTTTCCATGTATGACCATCTGCCCATCCTATTATTTAAGCTCAACTTTGTAGCCAACTCTACTATCTTCCTCATCCCATCCTTCAAAGCCTGTGCAATTCGATGCCCAACAGTACTTAAACATTAAACATTCATGTATTACAGAGGCGCTTGGAAGAAGTGTCCTGCAGAAAATACTTGAAAAATTTACCTTCTCCAGCAAAATTAAAATCGGCCAGTTTATTCAAATCAATATATAATACAAAGAAAATGAAATTTGGAATTAAAAAGCTAAGCTGCCATCAAAACTACATCCCGCCATGTCATAAAATCCTAGTTTCTACATTTAGTCAAACTATATGCACCCAACTGGCTCAAAAATTGCACAGTAATCAGTGTAGCTGGAAATTAAGTTCAGGTATCATTCTTGTAGTGTAAACATAAAATCTCAAATGAGCAAAATAAAAGTATCTATCAAGGTGTATGGATGTAAATATTGACCTCAAATGAGCAATTCTATCATTTAAAGTTCGAATGAGCACTTAGATTCTAAGACGAGAAAACAGTCCCACATTTCATAAATATAAAAATAATAAATGTAAGCTACTTCTCTTAACAAGATTGATGACACAATATGTAGGCTTCTGTGAACAAATATGTGTGGGTGTGTGGAGTGGCTAGTAAGTACAGGAAGCGTAAGGACTTTGCCGAGAAGGATTTCGTTGGTGAACGGCCAATAAACGCGGAGGTGTCAAGGAAGGTAACCCAAGGGCACACAGCATCTACATGTTCTTAATGGACTCAGTAAAAATTATTTGTCTAACAATTATCCAATTCATGGGTTTACTTTTTTTGATCAATTAGCTCTACATTGCCTTGCTTTAATTTTATTTGACTTTCTTCTCTTAGATTACTTTCAAATGCTTCTCATTACTGTTCCAATTAAAAAGGCCAATTGATTATTTACCAATAACAAAATATTTTCAAATTCTATTCATTAGCGCATCATAAGAATTTTTTTTCAGAAATACTATAAACATGATATGTTATTATAGGGATTTATTAATTATGAAAATAAATAGGATACAATTATTTCTAAAAGGAAATAAGAACCAAGAGATTTCTTATAATAACAACTTATGTAAAGATACTTGTTTAATATGTTGAGCAGTATCCCTATCAATAATGATCAAAGAGAGGGGAAAATTCAATACATGGAAAAAGCTCCGGATCAAAAATATCTGGATTGAAAAATTATAAATTTTGACCTTAGACAAAAAGTTGATATTAAAGCCAGGATCATAATTGATTCCAACAGTAATCAAAACACTCATTGTTTCTAATAATCATCAAATGATTAACTAAAAAATATTTTTATCATATGATTGCAGAAACGTATCCACCAATATCCCCCAAAATATTTATGGATTGGATGGGGATGAATGAAAAAAATATTAAAGCAAGAGTTTAAGCAAATAACTTGTTTTAAATTGGATCAGAATTTAAAACAGTAATGAAAATCAAAATAAAAAGATCGATGAAAAGCAAAAGCGAAGTTTTATTATAACATTGAATAAAAAATAAAGAATTGAAATCAAGAAGATAAAAAAACCCAAAAGTCAAGGGATCTTGGATCTTCCAAACCTAAAAATAGATATTGAAGATGGTAATGCAAGCTCGGGCATTAATGGGTAGAAAGAGAGAACAATACAAAATCATTTCTTAAGCCGAACGTACATGGACTAACATAGTATACTTTGAACGAAATATAGGTATTTTGCCCGACTCTGCTATCCATGAAGAGTAACACAATATTTGCTTACTATAACATGGGGTATTAGTATTTACTATATGAATGGACAGTGAGGAAATGTTAAGACTTCTAAATGACAAATTGTTTCTTTCAACATGCATTACAAAAAGAACATTTTATATTTTTTGGCATAAAATAACAATTCCTATCACAAAATGATGTCAGTATCTTCAAATCCTGCTTCAACAATTATAAATTGACAAGCAGTGGATCATTTTCCATTTTCATCAATATTTCCCTTAGCCACCTTGAAAATAAAGGCTCACTCATATACCTTCTCATATTGTTACTTTTACACGTAATACCCCCATACATATACTTTTTGCCATCTTTTCTCCTCAAAGTCATGCATATTTTTTTTTTCACTGGAAAGTAGGAATTAGAGAAATTACTATTTGTACCTCTTTGGTTACTAAAAACATAAAAACAATCTTACTACAGTTACAAGCATCGGAGACACTGATACAAAATAAGTCAGAATAATATCCCCAAGTGGACTGCAAATTTGAAAATTTCGCGATCCTTAAAAAAATGGTAATTGGATTGGTGCTTCACTATCCTTGGGGTTGTTTTGCTTGTAACTAATCACGTTGCAATTCGTTGAGATCACATAAACACGGCTTGTTGTAGAATTTCCCACATAAATCTGAAACATTAGGTGCTATATAAAATGCCAGAAACACGTGCTTCTGCAACTGCACCTTGATTTAACATAAAAATGTTGCTTCTAGCTCAAACAATTTCCATAATTGAATGAACATATTCCCTATTTACATTTAAAGGGTAAAATTCAAATTATTTGGGTTCTAAAATTCTTTTACGAAGTAAAAAAATAATTCTAATTTTGCTTCTTAAATAAAACGAATGGATAGTGTATGCAAGTACAGATCTATTACACATATGCATATAAAAAAAACCTAGTCGCATAATGCATAAATAATTTAAAAAAAATTAGGGTCCATACTTAGAAGTTCAATTAGAAGTGTGTGTACTGTACCACAGGAGGACAGCCTCTATATAATACTTGATCAAGCTCAAGAGAGTATAAATCTTGTTGAAGATCTCGCTTCTACTACTGCGATTTACGGAGTGAACTGTTGGACAAATTTTCGAGCTTTAGCGTAAAAAAATTTGCCCACTTCTTGGTTGTTTCTGTTTGAGCAAAATACTTGCATCAGTTTCAAGGGATTATGAGAAACTCGAAAGAATTACTGAAGGCATCGTTCTCGAATTGAGCACAGTTTAGGGTTTCTTGATTAACTGATTATGTGGGTGTTTTTGTATTTGTTGGAAGTGGTGGAGGGGGGTCAATTACCCGAGTCACTCTACTTTACGTGAGGTTCTGCGGGCACCGAACTTCAAACGTTTTTACATTTGGTCACTGACTTTACAAAATATAATTTCATTCATCATTCGTTTAATGAACTTCAAACGTTTTTTCATTTGGTTATTGAATTTTACAAAATATAATTTCATTCATCACTCATTTAATGAATAGTTAAAAGATTGGCGAATTTACTGATGCGACTAACAGAATTGCGTACGTGACAATCTATTTTTCACTTTCATGTCATTAGCAATTTTAAAAATAGAGTGATGGATGGGATAATAAATTACAAAGTTCAATGATTAACGTCATAATTTTTAAAAGTTCAATGATCTGGTGGAAACTTTACGCAAAGTTGAGTGATAATTTAAGTAATTGACCGCTATTTTTATGGGTTACATAGATTTGCAAATCTTGACACAAATATTCACGTACGCTATTTAAGTTTTGCTTTTATCTCATATGCCACAATACCGATGAACTATGTTTAAATACTTATCTCGACCAAGCCTGTAATATTATAAAAGAACACATAATGATGAGTGGAACGAGATACTTTCTCCCACTTGATCACCAAAAAAAGTACGACAACTTAAGAACTATAGACGCAGAAAACAACGCAATGTCTAGGATTCATAGATAATAAGGGCAAGATACTTAGTCATCTTTTCAGACTCCACTACACTAATAAAAGTTACTTCTAGTTTCTCAGTGAAATTTAAGAGTTTCGTATTGTCATCCAATTTTACCCTAAATATTTTGTCTGCTTGTTAATTATTTTTGCCGATTCGTGGTTAAAGGAAACAAATGATATTTAAAAATAATGCATTTAATTATAGCAAATTGTTAGACTCAAAATAAAATTCAATTACTTGTGTGTGAGCTTCCAAGTGCAAGCAAAGATTGAAGCAATGTTATTTGTGCTGGTTTCACCTCCTTTTGGGTGAACTATGTAGTGGCGTGAGAGAGTTCCATAATCTACTTCAATTTCTATCTTCTTTTCATTAAGACACATCTGGATAAAAAAAAAAAATCTATTAAATTGTTAGTAGAAGATGTATATGAATTTCAAAGTTGAATACTATTAAGTGATTAATGTACTCTGACGATACTAGAGATAATAAAACTATGGGGTATGATTACCAAAAAAAAAACTAAAAAAACATAAAGATTGATTAAAAAAAAATGGGGTTGATTACTTAAATCATCACTGAACTTTGCGTAAAATTTCCACCTAGTCCCTGAACTTTAAAAAATTACTCTGTTAATCTCTGAACTTTGAAATGTGTTATCCTTTCCATTACTCACTTTTTAAATTGCTAATGACGTGAACGCTAAGTGGAAAATAGATTGCCACATATGCAATTTCGTTAGCCACATCAGAAAATTCGTCAAATTTTTAATTGTCCATTGAGTTAGTAATAAATGAGATTACATTTTGCAAAATTCAATGACTAACGAGGAAATTTTTTAAAGTTCAGTGACCCCTTGAAAATATTACGCAAGATTCAATGATCAATCGGGTAATTAACCCATTCACCTCGTGAGTTTTTAGATGGGTTGGACTTTGTGTATATTTTGCTAAGCATAAAAATTTGCGAAGGGCATGCTTGGGGGGTTTTATCCAACGACTAAAAGTTTTTTTATATAAAAAAAATTATATATATGTACATATGTAAAAAATGAATGAATGTGTAAACAATATTGAGTAAATATGTATGTCACTTAGTGAGATTTTTAATTTTTTGTATTAATTCATTTTACTCATAAGTGATATTTTACATATAAGTAATTTTTTATATATACAATACATTTTAAATTAAAATTAAAATATCTAAATTTTAAATTTTATATAATTTTTTTTCACTTGTACATAAATTTTGTAATTATAAGTTAAGTTTGTATTTATAAGTAATTTTTTACACATAAATGAATTTTTTTACTTATAACTTCTGA